GACATACTCTTCACGCGGAGCGTGCTCCCATAGGGAGCTCCAGCTGCGGACCCAGTGGGCAAGTTCGCATGCGGCGCCCCCCCCGCCCACTTCGACATTCTTCTGCGCGGATCGTGCTCACATGAGGAGCTCCACCTACAGCCCCAGTGGGCAAGTTCGCATGCACTCTCCCCGCCCATTTCGTTACCCCCTTCACTCGCGTCCTGACCCCACGGGGAGCTTCACCAAAGGGCCCCAGTGGCAAAGCCCGCACGGTTCCCCCACGCCCATTCCGAGATACAGTTCACGCGGACCGTGCTCCCACAGGGAGCTTTACCTACGGCCTTAGTAGGCAGATTCGCATGCGTTCTTCCCGCCCATGTCGACATACCCCTCACGCGGGTCGTGCTTGCTATAGGGAGTTCCACATACGGTCCCCGTTGGCAAGCTCGGAAGGAGCGGTCCCCCCGCCCACTTCGAAGTACACTTCACGAGGGCCGTGCTCCCATTGGGAGCTCCACATACGGCCCCAGTCGGCAAGTTCGCATACGCTCTCCCCGCCCATTTTGGCATGACCTTCACCCTCGTCCTGTCCTCATGGGGGGCTTCACCAGAGCGCCCCAGTGGCAATTCCCGCACGGTGTCCCCCCGCTCAAATCGACATAGCCCTCACGCGCATCGTGCCCCCATAAAAGAATCCACTTACGGCCCCAGTCGGCAGGTTCGCACACAGTGTCCCCCCGCCCATTCCAGCATCTCCTTCACTCGCTTCTTGATCTCATGGGGACTCTCACTATAGGCCCACAGCGGCAAAGCCCGCACGGTGCCCCCCCGTCCATGTCGACATACCCGCCATGCGCATCGTACTCCCAGAGGCAGCTCCACCCAGGGCCTCTGTGGCCAGGCTCGCACGCGGTGCCCCCCGCACATCTCGGCACCTCCCGCATCCGCTTCCTGACCTCCTGGGGACCCTCCGCCTGCTGCAAGAGCGACAGGATGACAGCCTCGATGGAGGAGTCCTTTTCGCTCGGGAAGTGCGGCTCTCAGTCGAGCAGCGCCTTCAACGGGCCCAAACAAATGAGGATACCCATACGACAACTGGCAATACGACGATGATGATCACGATGTGCACTGGCTGTGATCCATCCGCTTTTGGATGTAACTCGTGGCTGACGAGTCCACCACGTAGGTTGGAGGCGGCACAACTGGCTGAGGAGCCGGCGTTCTTCGTCCAAAAATGGTTCATTTCGACATACTTCTCACGCGGGCCGTGCTCCCAGAGGGAGCTCCGTTTGCGGCCCCAGTAGGCGAGTTGTGACACGGCGTCCCCCGCCCATGCCGGCATCTCTCTAGCTCGTCTCCTGACTTCACGGGGAATTCCACCAAAGGCACGGTGGCAAAGCCAGCACGTTGCCCCCCCGCTCATTCCAACATGCCCGTTAGGCGGATCGTGCTATTCAGGGCCCTTGTGGTCAGGTTCGCACGCGGTCCCCCCGCCCATTTCGGCACCTCCCGCACTCGCTTCCTGACCTCATGTGGACCTTCACCAAAGGCCCCAGTGGCAAAGCCCGCACGGTACCCCCCCGCTCAATTCGACATACCCCTCACCCGGGCCGTGGTTTCCACAGGGAGCTCCACTTACGGCCCCAGTAGGCAGATTCGCACACGGTGCCCCCCCGCCCATTCCGGCATCTCCCTAGCTCGTTTCCTGACCCCATGGGGAGTTTCACCAAAGGCACCAGTGACAAAGCTTGCCCGCACAGTGTCCCCGCGCCCATTCCGACATTCCCGTCACACGGATCGTGTTCCCATAGGGAGCTCCACCTACGGCCCTTGTGGTCAGGTTCGCACGCGGCCCTTCTGCCCACTTCGGCACCTCCACCACCCGTTCCCTGACCTCATGTCAGAGCCCCGAATCGTCAGGGTTGAGGGCGATGGGAATAGCTACAGATTCGCGCTTCGGGGGCCCCAACAGGAGTTCAGATATTCCGGATAACTCGGGCGCCCAACCTTTCCAAATCATCAGGGTTGGGGGCAGTCAGGGGTAACTACACATGTGCGCCTCGGGGGCCCAAACCAGAGTTATCCCGGACAGCAGTCATCCCGGATAATTCGGGCGTCAAAGCACGGGGAGTTTCACCAAAGGCACCAGTGGCAAGACCCGCAGGGTTTCCCTCCGCACATTTCGACCTGGCTTTCACGCGGGTCGTGTTCCCATAGCGAGCTCCACCTACGGCCACAGTAGACAAGATCCATTTCGACATAACCTTCACGCGGATGGTGCTCCCGTTGTGAACTCCATGTGCGGCTCCAGTTTGCAATTTCGCACGCGGCGCCCCGCCAATTTCGATTTACCCTTCACGCGGAGCGTGCTCCCATAGGGAACTCCACCGACGGCCCCAGCGTGCAGGTTCGCATGCGCTCTCCTCGCCCATTCCGGCATCTCCTTAATTCGTTTCTTGATTTCATGGGGAGTTTCACCAAAAGACAGGGGCAAAGCCCGCACGGTGTCCCCTCGCTCATTTCGACATAGCCCTCACGCGGAACGTGCTCCAGTATGGAGCTCCATCTACGGCCCCAGTAGGCAAGTTCGCACGCGGTCGCTACGCCCATTCTGAAATACCCTTCACGCGGATCGTGTTCCCACAGGGAGCTTTTACTACGGCCCCAGGTGGCAAGCTCGCATGCGCCCCGCCCTCCCCCTCGCATTTCGACATACCTTCACGCGGATCGTGCTCCCATCAAGAGTTCCACCTACGTCCCCAGTGGGCAAGGCCGCGCGCGCTTTCCCCGCCCAGTTCGGCACCTCCCTAACTCTGGCCTTGACCCCATGAGGAGCGTCACCGAAGGCCCCAGTGGCAAAGTTCGCACGGAGCCCCCCCTACAATTTCGGCACAACCCTCGTACGTTTCCCCCCCCCCGCCCAGTTCGACATGCCCTTCACACGGATCGTGACCCCGTGAGAAGTTCCATTTACGGCCACAGTAGGCAAGATAGCATGCGGTCCCCCCGCCCATGTAGGCATACCCTTCACGCGAAGCGTGCTCTCGTAGGGAGCTCCGCCTACGGCCTTGGTGGACGAGTTCGCGCGCGCTCTTCCCGCCCGTTCCGGCACATCCCTCACCCGCTTCCTGACCTCATAGGGAGTTTCACCAGAGGCCCCAGAGGCAAAGCCCGAACGGTGTCCCCCCGCCCATTCCGACCTACTCTTAAGTCGGGCCTGTCCCTCTACAGGAGGAATATTCAAAAATAGTCCCAAAAAATAGTCTTGGGACTATGTGTTGCGTATTTTTTGGCCATTTTAGAATCTGTTTTGAGTATTTTTCATTTTTCGCCGAAAATCCCCCTGTAGGGGGACACGCCCGGCTTAAAACACCCCTCACGCGCGATCCGCGCCCCACGGGGGGAGTCCCAGCACGCCTCCCCGCGCCTGCCCCGCGCACCCACGCTGCCCTGCGGCGGGCAACGTGTGGGGCGAGGGCCCACGCCCTGCGCTACGCGCATCTGCAGAAGGTTGGATTCACTCCTCCTCCTCCTCCTCCTCCTCCTCCTCCTCCTCCTCCTCCTCCTCCTGCTCCTCCTCCTCCTCCTCTCCTCCTCCTCCTCCTCCTCCTCCTCCTCCTCCTCCTCTCCTCCGCCCTCCTCCTCCTCCTCCTCCTCCTCCTCCCTCCGCCCTCCTCCTCCTCCTCCTCCTCCTCCTCCTCCTCCTCCTCCTCCTCCTCCTCCTCCTCCTCCTCCTCCTCCTCCTCCTCCTCCCTCCTCCTCCTCCTCCTCTCCTCCTCTCCTCCTCCCCCTCCTCCTCCTCCTTCCTCCTCCTCCTCCTCCTCCTCCTCCTCCTCCTCTCCTCCTCCTCCTCCTCCTCCTCCTCCTCCTCCTCCTCCCTCCTCCTCCTCCTCCTCCTCCTCCTCCTCCTCCTCCTCCTCCTCCTTCCTCCTCCTCCTCCTCCTCCTCCTCCTCCTCCTCCTCCTCCTCCTCCTCCTCCTCCTCCTCCTCCTCCCTCCTCCTCCTCCTCCTCCTCCTCCTCCTCCTCCTCCTCCTCCTCCTCCTCTCACTCTCTCACTCGTCCTCGCCCGCCCGACGTGGAGAGGGGGGACTGTTGGTGGGCACGGCAGCATGTTGGAGTACGGGGAATGGGCGTGGGAGAGGAGCGTGGGGGCGAGGTACCCAGGAGGAGACAGAGTATGGGCGAGGAGCGCCAGGGAGAATTATGGAGGTGGATACTGGAGATGGGTACGGGGGGAGGCCGTCAGGTGGGGGGAACTGGGGATCTGGAGCACCCCTACAGTCAGTGGAATATTTTGCGAGTGAGACTTCGATGGCAAGACCGCGGCGACGGCGACGGCAAGGGCGGCGGCCACGACGACGCCAGCGGCGACAACGACGTCGACGGCGACGGCGGCGATGGCGACGGCGGCGACGTCGGCGACGACGACGGCGCCTGCGAATCCGACGACGCTGCTGGCAGCGACGACGACGACGACGACGACGACGACGACGACGACGACGACGCTGGCGACGGCGACGGCGACGGTGGCGGCGGTTATGGCGGCGGCGGCGGCGGCGGCGACGACGACGGCGGCGGCGACGACGACGGCGCCGGCGACGGCACTCGCGAAGGCGCCGGAGGGACGACGACAAAGATGACGACGACCAAGACGAGTACAAAGACAAAGACAACAGCGACGACGAGGGCGGCGACTGGGGGTGCTGGCATTACGCCCACACCTCGTTCTCAAAATGGCTGCTGCTACGGACGCAGCGAAGATCAAAGCGTGAAGATCGTGTCTAAGATACCCTGATACATTAACACGCGGCGCAAATATCTATTGGCAATATTGTCCCGCTGAGTGTAGGGAGAAGTTACACACGTAGACTCACTCAGACCCTCCCCAATCCACAGTCACCCCTCACACCTTCTATGCACCCCTCTTGACCCACCAGTCCCTCCCAAAACCTTGTCTAATCTCCACGCACACAAGCTCTGTTTAACCCCTGCGTCCCTAGTGCATCTCGGGCAGGAGCTCGCTATCATCCAAGTGATCGTGAACTATTACGAGGACGGCGGAAGCGAGGTGGCCCCGCATCACCACAAGTGCCGCCAGATCTGCGCCAGTTTGGGAGCTCAGCGCGACGTAGTCGTGGAAGGCGAGACGCTGACTATGGGTAACGGCGATGCGTTGCCGCTGTGGGGGGAAGTCCATGCTGTCCCCCCGGCGAAGTGCAAGTCGGGGCCCCGCGCAAGTGTTTGCTTGTTCTACGGAAGCAGGAGAGAGTACGCAATGAAGGAGATAAGCGTCAACGCGAGGAAGGGCAAGTTCGGGGACAATGCATGGTGGACGCACCCTGCTGACGGTCAGCCAGGCAGATGTTCATTGCGGCGTGTTCCTTTATGGGGCTTGTTTTCGTGGCCAACGGGACGTCCCCTACAGTATGGACGTGTTCTGCTGATGTTTCTGGAGGTGTGGCAACAGGCCTTCGCAAGTATTATTTGTATGCATTCTGAGGACATAGTATTGAGATCGTCCTCTGTGCATCGCAGTGAGAGGCAATACATCACCGTCCAACGGGAAGAAGGAGGGCCAGCAGGTTAGGGAGGGGGAGGAGGAAGAATTCGAACCGTTGTCCTCCTCCATTTCCTTGCTCCACCTGCCCATCCTTTAGCTCCCCTCCGTGTCGATTGTTGCGACGTTGACTCTGGATTGCAGAGGGCCCCTCGCCCTTCCCCTCCTCATCCTCAGCCGTACTATCCCCGTCTTCCCCTTCATTCTCCACGGCAGTCATCACCGCCATTATACATCATACTATTCTGGTGGGGCGCGCGGCGCACTCGGTGGTCGTCAGGTTTGCCATTCGTTTTTTCCGTCGCGCTACTTCCCCAGCGATTTATCTCGACGCCAAAAGGAAGGGAGCAGGATCAGCAGGAGCACGAGGACGGGGTGAGGAAATGGGAGGCAAAGTGTGTATGTGGGGGGGAGCGAAAGTCAACGAGGAGGAGGGAATGAAAAAGGAGAACGAGGATAAGGAGGAGGAGGCGAGGAGGACGAGGACGACGACGACGAGGGGACGAGAACGAACAAGAGGAGGAGGAGGAGGAGGAGGAGGAGGAGGAGGAGGAGGAGGAGGAGGAGGAGGAGGAGGAGAAGGGGGAGGAGGGGAGGAGGGGGAGGAGGAGAGGGAGGGAGGGGAGGGAGGGAGGAGGAGGAGGGAGGGGGAGGGGGAGGGGGATGCGTAGTACACATCGGCTCAAGCCCCGTGCCGCTGGGCGCCTCGTCTTGGCCGTGGGCGAGCCGCCGCTGGGCTGATTGCGACGGAGGCCGGCCGCGAGCATGGCCGCGTGGCGCGCCCGCCGGAGGCCCCGCGCGGGGGCCTCCGCCGCGGTGCACGCCGCCGCAGTCGCGGTGCACGCCCGTGGGGCCTCCGTCGCGGCCGCGTGGGGCCTCCCTCGCGGTGCACGCCCGCTGGAGGCCCCGCGTGGGGCCCCGCAGTCGTGGGCGGGCAAGCCGTTCCCGATGGAAGGCCGCGGGCGGCCGAGGGGCTCCCGCGCGCGGGCGTGTGCGTGCTCGCGGCCCCCACGCCTCCCCGTGGTGGCGGGGGAGGCGGTGCCCCCTGGCGGTGCGGGCGCGGCGGCGCCGCTCGCGCGGACGTGGCAGGGACGGCGCAGCCGCGGGCCGAGAGGCCGCGCAGGCGCTCGTCGGCGGCGGCACGGAGGGCGGCGCGGGTCACACGCGGGAGGCCGAGGGGCGACTGCTGCGGGCAGCGGCGGGCGCAGGCCGCCCGCACTGCAGGGTGGTGAGGCGATGGGCCCCGCTGCCACGGACGACGGCCCGACGGAGGAGTTGGAGGACCAGGGCGACGGCTGGGCGGACGACCTCCCTCCCAGTCGTCCATGGCCGTGGAGGTGCTGGTGAGGGGGCGGCGGGCGCTGGCGTCGTCGTCGTCGTCGTCGTCGTCGTCGTCGTCGTCGTCGTCGTCGTCGTCGTCGTCGTCGTCGTCGTCGTCGTCGTCGTCGTCGTCGTCGTCTTTCCCCTCGGGCGACAGGGGCGCGTGCGGCATCTGCGGGTCTTGGCTCGGCGCTCGTGGGCTCCTGGTGTCCCTCGCCGAGGCAAGCCCCCGTGGCACCCTGGCCGGCGCGGACCTCTCCGTTCACTTCTGAGGGTAAGAGGTCGGGGTGCGATGATGTTAAAGTCCTTACGGCGGGTGCCGCCGACCCTGACCACGACGACGAGGAAGGCGAGGACGACGAGGACGACGAGGACGACGAGGAGGAGGAGGAGGAGGAGGAGAAGGAGGAGGAAGAGGAGGAGGAGGAAGAGGAGGAGGAGGAGGAGGAGGAAGAGGAGGAGGAGGAGGAGGAAGAGGAGGGGCAGGAGGAGCAGGACGAGGAGGCGGAGGACACGGTGGAGCAGCAGGAGGGGCAGGAGGAGGATGCGGAGGAGGAGGAGGGGGAGCAAATATGGTTTGGAGTTCGCCCTGGAGCTATGGAAGAGGCAAGGGGATGGCGACGACTGACAGGAGGCAGGGGTGGGGATGGGGGTCAGGGGCGGGGGGGAGGGGGCTGACGGGCAGAAGTGGGCGCAGGGGGGGGGGAGAGAAGGGGAGGTGCAGAGGTGAAGGGTCTCGAGGAGTGGGAGGAGGAGGAGGAGGAGGAGGAGGAGGAGGAGGAGGAGGAGAACGACCCCCGCCCGCGCCCCCGGGACGGCTCCAAGGAGACCAGGCAGCGTGGCCCGACCAGGAGCTCAGCATCGACCTCGGCGCCCTGGTCGCCGGGACAGGGCCGTCCACGGGGTCGCCAGGCACGCCTCCCATTCCTCCCCCCCCCCCAGAGTCTCCACTCTGTCTCCTCCTATCCCCGTCTCTTCCTCACTTCTCCCCTCCCTCCCTCTCGGCCCCCCCTCTCCCTCCCTCCCCCGTCGACGTCTCCTCCTCTCCCGTGGCTTCCCCGCACCTCCTGTGCCTCGCCCTCGCTTTCCCTTTCTCCCCCCTCACCGCCTACCCTCCGTCTCCACTTCCCCCTTCTCCTGAAGCGTCACGTCCTCCACAATTACACGATATGAAAATACTCTCCCACTTCCCCTGATGGCGTCCCGAAGATGGCCGACCCCCCCCCCGCGTACTGTTTTTTTACACACAGGATTCCCGGGAAACGGGTTTTCGCCTGAATCGTTTTTCAAAATGCTGCTCTCGAATCGTTCCGAATCGTGCTCCCGCTGCAGCGTTGGCCTCATTTTCGGATCGGTGTTTGGCCTCCGTCGTTCAGGATGGCGTTCTCGCCCCAGCGCGGGCCTCTTTCTCGCGCGCCCATCCGCCCGCCACCACCGCGCCGCACCACCACCACCACCACCACCACCACCACCACCACCACCACCACCATCACAATCACCACCAGCACCACCCCACCACCACCACCAGCACCACCACCACCACCACCACCACCACAACCACGCACACACGCACGCACGCACGCACGCGCACCACCACCCACTACGCACGCGCGCGCGGAGCCACAGGTCCGCTACGACACGCGTCCGCGGATAGAGAAAATCAGCGCCATGGTAAGGGATGGGAGGGAGGGGTAGGACGTCAGATATGACGCAAGCGCACCTAGCTTGCCAGTGCCCATCCCGCTCTTCCCATCCCTATGTGTTGTTCTCTCCCTTTTTTTCCCCAAACAGCTTGCTGAACGGGGTGCTCTTGTGGTAGACGCTAGTTCCGGCCGAGGGAGAGTGAAGCCGCGACATCATCAAAAGATGTTGGTGGTCCGGGCCGTTTCGCTTGAGACATCCTCATACATCTCGTTTGTGAGTTGGCTGGGATCGGCCGTTTCTCCGGGACGCCGCGCGCGAGGTGGTCCAGGCCGTGTCGCTTGAGACATCTTGGAAATTCTAAGCTCCGAGATACCGCGCGAGAGGTGGTCCAGTCCGTTTCGCCTGAGACATCCTCGCAACTGTGCGCTCCGAGATGCCGTGCGCGAGGTGGTCCAGCCCCTTTCGCTTGAGACATCCTCGCAACTCGGGGCTCAGAGATGCCGCGCGAGAGGTGGTCCAGCCCGTCTCGCCTGAGACATCCTCGAAACTCGGGGCTCAGAGACGCCGCGCGAGAGATGATCCGGGCCGTTTCGCCTGAGACATCCTCGCAACTGTGCGCTCCGAGATGCCGTGCACGAGGTGGTCCAGCCCCTTTCGCTTGAGACATCCTCGCAACTCGGGGCTCAGAGATGCCGCGCGAGAGGTGGTCCGGCCCGTTTCGCTTGAGACATCCTCCCAACTCAGGATTCAGAGATGCCGCGCGAGAGGTGGTCCGGGCCGTTTCGCCTGAGAGATTCTGGCAATTCGGGGCTCAGAGATGCCGGGCGCGAGTTGGTCCCGCCCGTCTCGCCTGAGACATCTTCGCAACTCGGGGCTCCGAGATGGCCCGCGCGAGGTGGTCCGACCCGTTTCGCGTGAGGCATCCTCGCATTTCGGAGCTCCGAGCTGCCGCGCGAGAGGTGGTCCAGCCTGCTTCGCATGAGGCGTCCTCGCAACTCTGAGCTCTGAGGTGCCGCGCGCGAGACGGTCCAGCCCGTTTCGCCGGAGACATCCTCGCGTTTCGGGGCTCAGAGATGCCGCGCGAGAGGCGATACGACCCGTTTCGCTTGAGATATCCTCGCAACTCGGCGCTCCGAGCTGCCGTGCGGGAGGTGGTCTGGCCCATTTCGCCTGAGACGTCCTCCCAATTCGGGGCTCGAGATGCCGCGCGAGAGGTGTTCCAGCCCGTTTCGCATTGGACATGTTCGAAACTCTGAGCTCCTAGATGCCGTTCGGGAGGAAGAGGTGGAGGAGGAGGAGGAGGAGGAGGAGGAGGAGGAGTAAGACGACTAGGAGGAGATGGAAAGGAGAAGGAGGAGGAGGAGAATGAGGAAGCAGACAGGAGGAGGAGGAGGAGGAGGAGGAGGAGGAGTGAGGAGGAAGGGAGTTACATTAGAGGACCCAACGGGAAGCGAGAGGTAGAACGGCCCGTTTCGCTTGGGACGTCCTTGCAATACTGAGCTCCGAGATGCCGCTCGCGAGGCGGTCCAGCCCGTTTCTCCCGAGCCGTCCTCACGACGCGAAGCTCCGAGATGCCGCCATGCGCACCCTGCCTTCCGCCCTCCTCAGACATCCGACATCATGATTTCTGTTTGAGCGCGTTCTGTGGTCGCTTGGGGGGGGGGGGGTGCAACCGGACCCCCCCCCCCATGGATGGAGGGGGGGGGATTCGACCCCGCCCCCTCCCGTGACGGACCCGTGACGGAGGGGGGAGTCTCTGGATTTCAACGCCGCGTATCAATTGGATTGCTGCGCTTTGGCGATCTGGAATCTCGCCATTGTTTCATTTCAACACCGCGAATCTACAGAATTGTTGCGCCCGCATAATCCTGAGTCCTTCCAAAGCACCATGATTGGTACGCTGATCCTGGGAGCCCGTGAAACTTTTGCAATGCTTGACAAAGCCACATTTTGAAAACGACCCGCCCTCAATCCGTGAAGCTTTGGGATCGTGTTACAAATTATGTGCGCGGCGCTAAGGCGAGAGCCACATCTTGAAAACGACCCGCCCTCTATATGTGAAATTG